TTCCTCTGTTTTTCCTGTGCATCCTTTGGCTGTGCGACAGCTCTTGGTCGGAGCAAGCGGTCAGCCGGAGCTATTGCAGCTGGCACTTCTCCCTCCAGCCCTCACAAACCCCTAGCTGGTGAACAGGAGAACTTACAGCATCTGTAAACAAACTTCATTATGCAACAAAAGCCTTGGTTTCCTCGCTGAGGCATTTTGGATCACCTGCAGGTGGGTATATCCTGCACTCCTTTAAGAAACACAGGGGCAGCTTTCCAGTGCAAGTCAAAAGTAACAGCTGCCACAGCTCCCCTCAGAAGGGCTCTGCACTCACTGCTTGAAAACACTTTGCTGACACCGAATCAGGAGCTTTTAGTGGAAGAAAAATACCACTCTGCATCTAAGGCGAGGGAATTTCCGCTACACTGGAGCTTGTGAAAGGAACATGGTGATCCAGGAGGTGGCCCCACTCAGGAAGTKTAAAGATCACCGAGCTGATTGGAGTTATCTTTAAAGAGAAAAGCCAAAAGCAATGAAAATGTCCATATTAAGTACGTTTGTGGTTAGAGAGGGGTATGTACAAAAATAGAATGGCACTTTTCTGCTTCACATGTCCCACAAGTAGTTCAAAATGCAATATATGATCTTAATCAGTAATTGTGTACRGTCCTGCTGTCATGATTCCCCCTCACCTCCTCCCTTCTTCACCAGGCCAGGCCACAAAAGACTTTGTAATGTTACCAGGTCTAGGTCAAACTTTTAAAAGCATTACAAAATTTTATTTTTTTATCCAATTAGCATCTTACTCAGTTGAGATGGTATTTAGCTACCAAAGAAGTCATATGGTTATTTTTTAAAATGACATGTTTTCTTTTGCAAAATGTGTACCCTGATTAAACTCCCATTATGATGTGGCCAAGAATTCTCATCTCATTTCCTATGAAAGATCTTCTCATACCATCCACCTACTCTAGAAATTGAAACAGTCACTACCCTGTATTATTCACATCCTTGAGAGAAATGTGTCCAGGGCTCCAGCCCAATTCCAGCTAGGAGCTGTTGCAACTTGCAAGTGCAGGCATATGAGTAAGGTGTTTGTTTTCTCGAGAGACACAGCTGTGTGATGCTGAGCATGAGTACAGCTAGAAGCCATCACTTTTGGTGGGTTTCAAGGGTCAGAGATAGAATGAAGCAGAGAAACAAATGCATGGCCTGACTCAGAGGTTCCTGAAGCCTCACCAAACCCACAAAGCTCTTCTGTTCCATAACCTTTAACCTACCCCAGGTCACCAGTGACTGCTCATAGCCTCCACAGCTGGGGCAGAAAATTTCAGCCTTGTCAGCACTGCACTTTTGAGGATCTACACATGGAACGTGTCTGGGGCTGCTCTGGGACCCTTCAGTCACCTGGGACCCTGTATCTTAATGCAAACCCTRCTACAAAGCTTTAACAATTACCATCTGAGTGCTCACTACAAAATCAACATCTACTGAGAGCTATTGAATTATGAACCACACTGCCCCAGCCTTCTTGTGCTAATTGCTTTAATCACTTTCTGCAGTCTCATCTTCACCATTAGTCCTGCAACTCAGAATCATTTTGCCTGAGCCATAACGATGGCAGGACTTTTGATTTGGCTGCCATTTATTAATATCAACAACAACAGATGACGGCTGTGGATGGACTTTTTAACCACCCAATCACTTCCATTTTGCAAATTCTCTTCAACTTACAAACCTGTGGCTGTAGATCATTAACTAGAGGGTAAAAAAAAAGTACATAGCATTAGCAAAAAAGGAGGTTGAAAGGTTCCTTGGGATCTGACCACACTATCCAAGGCAAGGACTGGGAACTGGGGACTGATCATTTCAGGCAGCACAGACACTGTCTGTGAAGTTKAACACACAATTTGTAAAAGCCAGAGAGAACTGGCCAGAGCTTTCTGCTCCAGAAAATGCTGACATTCCATTTCAGATGATCCTCATCATGCACTGACTGCTCCTYTCTGATAGCAGCCATGAGGCAATTCTTCTTCAAGGACTCCAGGGACCTACTGTCCATTTGCTGCCTGGGTTCCTGTAAACAAATCAGCATTCAAGAAGCCAAGGTTTTCTCACCATACAACCATTGGATCCGTTTGTTCCCAGCTCAGGGGACCAGATCATTAAATTAGGCACAAATTCCTCATACATCACCGTGTCAAGTGAGCTGTGGGACTCTCTCTCAGTTGCCTGGGCAGCACATGGCTGGTGATAATCCTCCAGTCATTATGCACAGCAGACCTGCTGGAATGCAGATCCCAGATGAAGTAGTATCCAATCTTAGTCTTCTTCTTGGAATAACCAATGGGAAGTGTTGYTCAATTAAATCTAATTGACATATGCTGGAGTCTGATAAAGAAACACAGCTCTGCAGAGCTCTGCTCTCCCTTTCCCAATCAACCCCGAGGCTCTGAATTAACAGATGCATTGACTCAAATGACAAAAATCTCCTTTTCCACTAAATTCCCTGCTAGTTCTTACAAAGGATGGGAAAAGCACAAAAAAATAATAATTACAGTGTAATTCAGAACAGCAGTTGTCAAAGTATCTTTTTTTTTTTTTTTTTACTGCCTCTTGGTGTGCTTTCGTTTTTTTTTTTGTAATACTGTGGCTTGGCATTTTTAGCAGCAGAACTTCATTACCAAACAGTGTGGCTTTTTTTGGGAGAGCTCCGGTCTCAGGCATCACTAGGGGGAGGCATTGCACGGCACAAGGCTGCTGTGGCTCACTGCTCCAGGGCTTCCAGGATCCCCACAGCCAGATCTGCTCCAGATGTTATTAATCCCTCACCAACCCTCACTCTGGGACACCCAATCTTTTCCCATTCTCAGTTGTCGGCTCTCTTGGAAGTGATCCTTTCCTTAATAATGAGGCAATTCATCTTCTAATTTGGGTACCAAAGTAACTTTACGGTTCAACCCTCCAAAAATGTCAAACATGCCAAAGTTAGCAGCTTTTTAAAAGTGACAGCAGACAGTGCTGGCACATCCTTGGCTCGTTTAAATGCACACGTGTACCAAGCCATTCAGATCTAGGATGGGGAGACATATTTTGATGAAAAACTTGGCTTTTCTTTTAAAAGYCAGCATGTGGTCTATTCTCTTCAGTCTCTGAGGAGAATTAAGTGCCGTTTACTTTAAATATACAGGAATCAGAGCCAGATATCAAGCAGAACCAGATGTCACGACCCAGAAGAGAGCATACACAGATGGAAGGGGGACATATGGCACACAAGTTTTCTCCCACTGTGAGTGTCCCTGTCCAGACAGCTCTTTAGCTTTTTCCCTGTTTGTTCCTGTAGGCAATATGCAGGGGAGTTAACTGCCAAGTTTTTTTCTGTTTTAAAGGGACAGATGAATGTTATTTTTTTTTTTTGCTCCCAAATACTCTGCTTTTTTGCCATATCAGAAGTAGGAGAATTTATAAACTCCTTTACCTGTAGGTAGTGCCTTTAAACAGAATCACAGAATATTCTGAGTTGGAAGAGACCCACARGGATCATCAAGTCCAACTCTAAAGTGAATGAACCCTATGAGGATAAAACATATAACCTTGGCTTTATTAGCACCATGCTYTGACCACCTGAGCTGGYCTCAGAGTCCYAAAGATGYATTWTTCCTGCCACCTCTGCTATGCYCCACTTGAAATTTTACACTTGTTTCACACCTTACCTAGAAAGAATAGAGTGACAGGTCATGTAAGAGCAGATAGTCTGAAATTTTTTCCAAATCCAATGCTTGTTCCAGTCTGCCAATTTCATGGCACAGAAGAAATAGTTATGTTATGCATATTTGGGAAAAAACCCACCAGAAAACAAACTAAAAAACAATGTGGATACTAGAAATAATGTGTTCAAAGAGCGAAAACAAAAGGTCTTAAGGACTTGAAATAAAACCCTTCAGAGAAAGTATTTAATCAAAAAGAAAGAAAAAACTAATGAGATAAKTGTTCAAAAATCCCCTCCTACTACAGTCACTGCTGTGCTCTAAAAAAAAAAAAATTAGGGCAAGATCAAATGAATGGCTGGCAGCAGAAATTAACAGAAAAAWTTACACATCTAGGTTACCTGATTGAGAGCAGCAATTCAAAACCAGCCTTTTGGAGCAAAAAAATCACCTTAATGACTTGGTGACCTTTCTACCTTTCATCAGGGTGAAACAGCAACCCCTGGCAAACGCTGTCACAGCCAAGCAGAGCTCTAAAACTCCAGCTGTAATGACACAGGGACCCAGGTGCTCTCTCAGAGGAAGGTGCAAAAGCTGTACATTTTAACTGTGCCCCCTGATGTCCAGCAGACATCAGAGTTCTTTTTTMAATCGATTTCAACATGGGAAGCAACCTTAGAGTGGGCTGAGTAAACAAATGTTTTTACTACTACTACTACTTTCCAGCTTACTTTTAGTGACTAACATTCAGTTTGTCTCAACAAACGCATCCCATACTGGTTAATATTATCCTAAGTTAAAAGWTAATAAATATGCACATCAAGTGGCGAGCTTTGCCTTTACTCTTGAGAATAATGAGTGTAAAGATGAGAAGAGGACATGCTGTTGCTCCTGTGCTCATGAGTTGTAGCATCTCTTACTAAACCTGAGAGCTGGAAATACCCTGAAKGAAAGCTGATAGCACTGAATTTACCTACACACATTCCAAAGCTCTACAGCATAATGCTTCCTTGGTACTACCGGTAAAAATGTCTCTCCTTAGCACAGATTTCCTAAATGTTAACTGTGTCCTGCCTGCTTCATCTTCGAGTTAACTGCAGCTATGAARGGAAGCACAGCAGCTGAGCTACAATAGTGTCTGGACAAAAGGCAGGACAGGCTTTCTCCTCAAGCACAAGCTCAAGGCCCCAAGATAAAGGGAAAATGTAAAATTGCCCTTGCACTGTTCTACCCTCTAGGATGCAATACAAAGATAAATTTAAAAGGAAAATAAACTATATGTCAGTCATGGCTGTCCTGTCTGGGGCTATTGCATTAACTCTATCTGGTCCTAACAACCCATTCTGGGCTCAGAGCACAWGTTCCTCCCCTATCCATTAATTAATGCAGGGATAGATGCCAGACTCTCAGTGAGTTTCTGTGCACRCAGTCAGCACAGCTGAGACACAGCATGAGAACATCTGGCTTCCACAGTAGCAGCACAGTCTAGAAAGCTTTCTGTCCTCAAGAAATCTGAACTATTTTCAGTTTCCTAAGCATTACAAGAGACTAAGTTTAAAAAGRAAACATATACCAGATATCACAGAACTGTTCAACCAATGTCTAAAAATCCATGGATTTCATTCCCTTCCTTTCATTTGCTGAACACATTTGGCACCAATAGTTCAGCAGAAACACATTTGTGGTGAGTTTTAAATATACCTGCCATGTCATGTATTTCCCCAACCCCTTCATGAAGCAAGGATAAGGTCTGCTGCTCAGGAGGAGGCTTCAAAGCTTGCACAGTGCAGATTCTTGCARCAATAAGGAAATCAGACAACCATGGAGAGGCAACAAGAAGTGGAACAGAATAACCAGGAAAATGCTGATGATATAAATAGATTTTTAATTTATCGACTGCAGTTTTAATTTTTTTTAAATGGACTTCAAAGCTGTTTCTTCATGCAACTTTTATGTGGATCATGACCACTTAATAGCCTACCACCATCATCATGTTTCATTCTAATATCTGATGGAGACTAACATAACTAATTGTATCACTATCCAAAGCCCTTAGCAGAAATAAAGTTGCACAGAGTTTTTCTTTTCAGGGAGTTTTTCTTTTCAGGGAGCTTTTCTTTTCGGGTGTAGTTTAGGGAACAGATGGCAGTTTTTACTCCTCAAAGAGAACCTTTACTTTGTAATACAAATATTGTACAAGAAACATCCCAATTCAGAATTACCTTCTCAGTATTATTTAAATAAGCRCTTCTTAACTCCCCTTAGCTGCAGAACTGTTCGAAGTTAGAGGCAAAAAATACACTTCAGAACAAGATACCTTTTTCCTGGGTGGCATTTGATAACGCACATTTTTCCAGAATCTTGTATTTGCTGAACAAGATTTGTCTGAGAAGTCCCCTTTCCATTGGACAGCTCCATGTTTTTGCTTAATGTATCTGATTGATTCTGGCATGTTTGTRTAGTCCCGTATTTCATCCATTTCTATAAGAATCACCTGAATCCCATCACGGATGAGAGCATTATACATAGCTAGCTGTTGCTCAGAGGTRTCTTCTAACAGGCAACAACTGCAAGTTTCTGATCCCAAAATAATCATCAGTCTTCTGCTTTGCTTAAGGGTTTCATCAGCAACACTGACCACAGCTGTAAGAAATGAAGTGACAATCAAAGTTGGCATAGAAACTTTACAACTGGTGTGAAATAGTTCTTCATTTTAAAATTGCACACATGTGAAACTGTGTCTAGCTCAGAGCAGTGGTTGCTTTAATATCTTCGCACTGCCATTCATGATTCTTCATTCATGATCCATTGCATGACATAACTTATAAAAAATTGTTTTCTTCAACCCTCAGGAGAGGATATCATTCAGAAAAACTCAGCAATATTATTAATGCTGTTAATGCTGTTAAATCCTCATTTGTTCATAACTAAGAAGCAAGTGCAGACCTTCATAACAAAATTTTCAGTAAGAAAAAAAAAAAACAAAATAAAAATATTGCATTGGGCAAATAAACCATTAAAATGAAACAAGTAACAACTTTTCCACTAATGTGGTTTTTGAAGTGCATATATAAACTTAGAACCTGAGAGCAATGAGTCAAAAGGCAACCCGTTAACTCTGCTAATTAAAGCGTACCTTCTCCTGGTAAATCATCCCTTCCTAATATGAAGAGATTATATCCACATTGTTTTTCTAAAACATCTGGGAGTATTCTACGAACAAAAGTTTCCAGACAACAGACACTGCTGCCTTCGCTGCTTTTTGCACACAGGACATACGCATCGTAGATTTTCCCATCTAAAACAAACACAAATGTTTCTATTAAAAAACTAAAGCTCAGAAAAATTGTCTTTATTGCAAAGTTTCATTTTGGACTGTTTAAAAGTAGTAATTGGAAGCTGATTTCAGCCATATGACAGAACAATTTTACAGAAGTAAAATGCTCTAYGAATCAAAGGTTATCAGGCACAGAGTCTGACTTCCTTTCCCATCATGGGATGGAGGAGTCACCAAGTGAGCTGGATGCAGGACCTGGGATGGGCAGGAAGGAGCTCCCAATCCCAGAGCTGCCAAGACATTTACAAAGTGCCCTCTCACAGAACTTTCTTTACCACTTCTCCTGGAAGAAACTCAACAGCAGTTATTTCCACTTCTGACTAACCACAAGAGAAAGAGGAGAAATGGCAATTAATTCTTGAAATGATCCTGTGGGGGCTTTTCACAGGTATATAAAAACGCCAGAAGGCTTTCAAGGTTTTGAGAGTTAAGGTTGCATAGCAAGCAGGACTGAAAGAATCAAAATCARATTTGACTCAACAAGTTAAAAACTGATTTTTTTTTCTTTATAATTAGAACTCTATTAAAGTATTCTAGCAAAACTGAACTTTTGACCAGGAGTTGAAATTACTTTCCAATGAAAACATTTAGGACAGCTATGAGTAAACATTGGTTATCTTAATGTATGTAACCCATTCACTTTCAAGCCATGGAGAACTTCAGACCATCTAATTCTGAGAACTGRCATAAAATAAATCTATGATGTTGTGCTTATTTCAAATTTTTCACACCTGTCCAATATTTTTGTCTACAGTGCRTTAAACTACAACACATTAGAAGAATCCCAGAACAGAGAACTAGCAGCAAATTTACTCTTTGATATGTCAACATCATAACTGACAGGATTTAGAAGGAAAGTAGGGGTAATACTGAGAAATTGCAAAATGAAAAAATGAAACCCCAACAAAATTAACCTCTGGGAAACAAGTCTGATTTTCAAAATAAATATTTAATACATGCCTTCAAACATCCAGTTTACAGGATGTAGCTCTGCTGACACCTATTGTTCACATTCAGAGTGACCATAAATCTACACGTAAAGAAAACTACAGAAAAGCAAAAAGTAACATGCTCATTTTGGAATAACCCATAGTTCTTTTTGGTCAGTCTCACTATGATTGCCTTCATTATTTAAGGTTTTATTACCTTGAGCATAATTATACATTTTACCCATATGACTGAAAAAAATCCTGCACAAAATATCTTTATCTGAAAATTCCCTATGGAAGTTCTGTGTAAATCGTACAAAATAAYCCCATTATTTCTCAGAAGTAATGGCAAGTGAAAAAATCAGTATGCTGATTACACTTACATACSTGCTCACAGTCACATACCTTCCTTACTTGTAAGGGCACAGACAGAATTACGGTACCAAAGCACCAAATCGACCTTGAAAATCTTGTAGATTATCAAAGTAATAAATGTCAAAATTAACAAAGAGACAAGCCCTCCACTCAGCCATCTTTGTATATCAGGAACTGCCAAAAGAAAAAAAAAATTAAATGTTACGTTTGTCCAAATCTGATCTGAGTACTACATTTTTCATTCCTATTTACCTTGTTTTTAAATAATGCTAAATACACTACTGCAGTGATTCCTGCCCAATGCACAGGAACATTCATAATGCAAACAGTAATAGATCAGTCTTCTTTCAACATGATACATGAGAATTTGGTATCAAAACACCTTCTGGGGAAGTAAAGATAACCACAGGCCTCAAAAATAACAGCATTTCTTACCTCTGTGTTTTAACATGATATAGGATGCAACTTCCCCAAAGGCATTTGAAGCCTGACAGACAAATGGATGTTCATAATCTTCACTGCTCACTTCCGAAATTATCAGCTTCAGAGAATGCATTGGGCGCCCATCGTAAGAAGTTTCTCCCCTGTCCAAAAGGTGACAAATAGACCCATAAAAACCACAGCCCTTTCTGGAACRGCTTCATCTCCAACATCTGCAGCACAGCAATGGTTATTTCCTTCTGCAAATGTCAACCACACTTYGAAACAGATGAACAATTACATCATTTGAAAGAAACCCCAACAGTCAGACCTCTCCTGGCACTGACATGCAGCATATGCATGGGAAAGCATCAAGATAGCAAGACATTATCTTATCTGGAGCTGTGTTTCCCCAAAGGAATATAAGGTTTCTGTAGTTTGAAGTTCAAAAATATGCCTTAGAAACTCCAACAAACCCTTGTTACAGGCTTCCCAATCCCTGTGAGAGCAGATGGACAGAGATATTTCACAATGGGATATGACACAGAAAGAGGCTCTGGGACATGGCATCATCAGAGGTCAGCAGCTCTGGGTCAGGGAGGACATCAAAGTTGGTGACATGCACAGACAACACCAACTCACAGTGTGATTCCAGCTGCAGGGAGTGGAGTTTAGTGTGCCTCACCCCCATGGATCAGAGCAGACTTGGAACATCTGCTTGAGTCAGGCTGCACCATTAATCACAGATCATCCCCCACAYATTGTACAGGGACATAAAAAACCTCACACAGCACATTCAGTCAGCTGAATCAATTCACACGTGACCAGTGTGAAAACTGAACTTTTTACCACCAGGAAAATAAGGGATACCATTACCTTGTTAAGAGTAGGCCTCAAATGCAAAATTAACTAACCAGTCTACTTAGTCAAGTACTATTATTTCCTGAAAACAATGAGCAGTTACCATTTTAAATGCCAAATAAAAGCTTGAAACATATCACAAAGGGATATATAGGACCACATGAAGCCCTTCCTAAGCAAAAAGTTGCAGTAACAGGGAATGAATGAACCAATATCACTAATGCAAATAACTAATGGTTGCAAAGATGACCATGTGAGTGCTAGGAAGTACAAAAAATAACATTGCTTTTACAATACCAATTCAGCGACCATGTGTGTCTGCATTATGGCCCAATTGCTCATTGCACTACAATTCTTTATGATAATTTAATATATTATTTTTGCACAGTGTTCTCTCTTGGTGAGCACCCAAATAATTCAGCAATTTATTTCTCTCTTTGTTTTTTGAAGAAAACTTATTTCTTGCAACTATACTCTTACTTTGAAGACATCATTCTTATTTCTTCATTGGTTTTCAGTTACAGATAGTGCTACGGAATTTACAAAAACTATCTTTTTTTTTTATTCACAGGACCACCATGAGATAAAGGCTGACGAAAAAGCCCTGAAATTTCTAGTTCAAAACCTGTAATGCCTAAGAAAATTTCAGATTGCCTCTTGCTCCAATTTGAGTTGGTTTTCCCGGTCAGGTATAATTTCTCGTCTTCTCATTCCATTTAACCTGCTTTTCACCATCACCTTATCTCCTACTTGCCCTTTGCATGCCTTTCTCAGTCCAAGCACTCCCAAAACCCAGCTCAAGGCAATCTGCCTCCCTTTTCTCCTCTGACCCCTAAGCTTCAGTACAAGCCCTCAATAAAGTCTTCAATTAGCTCTTCWGTTGATTTTAGTGAAATTTCTCTAATTCAAAGCTCTTAGACCTAGAAATCTCAATTTTTCCTGTATATCACAGGTTTGTTCTCTTGCAGCCTTTCAGAGAGGCAGATGTGCAACACAGAAGAAAGAGGCAATCTGAAGATYCTGCACCTGGACATGCCTGATCCAACAAAAAGAGGTCTCTGCCATGCCAGACCCTGCTCAAAAGAAACTGTATTACAATTACGGGACTGTAACAAAACACCTTTTCCCAACACTGGAAATTAAGATATTTTTTTTACAATGTGCAAAAAAGCACAATTGCATGTGAAGCCCATGTGCCTACTATGTTTCACATTTCTATTTTAAAGCAGAAAGTGAGTTGGAGAAGGCAAGGATTAGAGGTTTTTAATAAGAATGCTATTCAAAGCAAGGGGGAAATGTTGTTAAATATTTTAATGTCAAAGGGAGAAAGTTCCAGTTTGGYTGCCAACACAGTATTTTCTGATCTGAAAATATACTTACTCATAGGGACTTGCAAAAATCCTGCTCATATAAAATATATCAATGTACACACCGTTGCCTGTCCAATACACCTCATACACCTCAGCACCTGTTGTATTGCAATCCACAGTAACCTGTGAACCTACAAAATTGTTTACAAAGCAAAAAAGTTATTTTCCATAASCTAGGTTAAGTCTGGACAATTCTGTTCACAGATTCACACGCACACCAGCTAAGGATGATACTAAACCCTTTCAGAAAATTTACTCTAACAGAAGGTCTCTSTTCTCAGGGATCTGAAGGTCCAGAAAGAAAATAGAGATGGAAGAAGCTGAATCCAYAAAGAAGATTCTTCCCCCTGGGGCATGACTTTGCCAGCAGATTCAAGATGTACCCATGCTTAGGATCTCTTCCAGAGTGATGGAAAGCAACAGATGTGGCAGATAATCACTAGGGTTCCCTACAATTTCTCATCTGAGAAATTTCTTTAGGACTTTGTAAACAACATGCCTCATTTCTTTCCCTCTCACCCCTCAACATTCCTCCTTTGAGAGACCAGCACAGACAAACTGAGCTGGTCACTGAACTAGATTTTTCAAAAAATAAAAAGAAAGCACAGAATAGGACACTCCTTGAGAATACATTTTCACTAGAACACAAATTCATACTTTCTCATAGAAAAAACCAGCTTACCGAGTTCCACTTCAATGGAGTTGTTTCTTGGGTAAGATATTTCTGGAGGCTTTTTAGGTGGGGTCACTGACCAAAAGAAAGAAATAGCTTTTCAGAAAACCCAGGGCAGTTACAGTCTGTTCTGTGCTCTATAACCCAAGTGCAACCTAAAAAACACCCCTTGTACTACAGACAAGGCTGTCAGCCTTTTTATAACAAAATATCACTCAATACTCAAAGTATCATATCACAGGCAGTTATTACTTCTGACTTGAAGCTAAACTATTCTTCACTCCATCTCTTCCAAAATGTAATGCCACAAATCTCCTCACACTCATGGTAGACTGGCTGGTCCATGGCACAAGAATTCTGTAAGATTGCGTGCTGGGAAGGGTACAGGTAAACATTTTGAGTATTAACCTCTACAGTCTGAATAGCCAGTCAGCCAGCACCCCGCGGATACAAACTGGAGCCAAGCACTTTTAGAGTATTTTAGACTCTATTTTATTTTAGACTTTCACTATTCTTAAGGGGAAATTTAATCTTTATACTCTAGTTAAATAYCTTAAAGTTCTTCCCACAGCACTATGTATAAGGAATTACAATACCAGTGAACCCTTTTAGAGTTTACAATTAGGAGTACATATTACACTCTTCAAGTGTACAAATTAAGAAATATAAACCATGAAGCATTTCATTTGAGCCCCCTAGCAAAGTACACAGGATTGCCCTGAATATATTCTTCCCTTCCCTTTCTGAAAATTTGGTCTGCATTATTGTTTGGACCTCAAATGACCCATTTTAGTGTAAATTTGTTCAGCTGGAGTCTTTAATAACCACTGAACTACCCTCAGTCACTTGCAGSAAAGGAGTGATATGATTTTGTTTCTACTGAGTAAAAATTTCATTAACAGAGAAGATCCAGGGACAAATTTTAAGACCAGAATGATCATTTTATTTGATCCAACCTTTCGGTCCTCAACTTTTGTTTATCCATGTCATATGTAGATTTCATTATATGAATGGTACACACTCATTCATACACACATACCCTTACATATATACATGTGTAGGCACATATATGCACACAGGCAAARCAGGCAAGACTCTTGCATTAAAAGGATGACATAAAAGAGAAAGAAGTGAGACAGGCAGGACAGAGGGCACAGCAGAAAGTATTGTGCCACCAAGCCTTACAGGGCATCTGCTCAGGGACTTTGGCAGCAGAGCTTTGGCACACTGCAACTTTGAAATAGGGAACAGATCTTCAACATGGGGACTACAAGTGACAGAGTATAAATACTTTCAATCAGCATTTATTTCCTTCACATTTAGGTGAAAAATAGCAGCCCTGAGCGTGTCTATCCACAGATTAAGTCTTTTCACTTTAGTCTTTAGAAATTCGCCAAAAAATTTTGGAGTAGTTATGAACACAAACACAATGTCATGACTTACTTACCTTCYACAATCAGACTGATGTCTCGTGAAATGTTGTATTTTTTTCCATTGTATGTATATGTTGTTTCACATGTGTAGTTTCCTCGATCATGTACAGTCACATTAAAAATTATAAGGTCACTGTTCAAGGGGGCAAACCTTTTTCCTTCCAGCAGCTGGCAGTCCTAAAAATGTGTAGAGACTCATATCAGTGTATATTTCCATGGTTTGTCTCTCTTTAATACAGTCTGAAGTTTCAATGGATCACAGCATAAGGAAGGGCTTGCAGAGGCTGAGGAAGGGTGAGGGCAGTGGAATCTAAAGAAAYGCACACTTCACTTCTGATGAGACTTAAATTAAAGATATCCCAGTTCATCCCTTTGGAAAACAATTTTCAATATTAGAGAAATAAGAAATAAGCCAGTATCAGGATTTGCAAAAATATTCATCAATGAAGAATCACCTGATAATTAGGCTTCATTTTTTTTAAGGAACCTCAATACTACTGGTACCATASGGACTGCATGGACCCGAGGCAGGAATTTGGCAGAAGACACTACATTCTTGAAACAGCAAGAGGCTTTAAGAGAGTGTGAACAACATGAAATAGAATAATTTAACAGAACAGTATGAATATTTRGAATTTATATAGAATATAAAGATTTTAACAGAACTTTATGAATATGCCACAGTAAATGTGTTTCCACACAAGGCAGTGTTTCCCTGGCAGGTGAACAAGTGCCACCTGGTGGATCCGTGGGTCAGCATCACTCGCAGCTGAATTTCTGCCCTGATAATAAAAATACCTGATACACTTTTAAAAGATACAAAGTCTTACACCTCTTCCAAATTGTTTTTAAAGCATTTTCCTCCATTTTTCAGTAATAGTAATTTCTTCTGCTCCAATTCTCAAAGATCAGTGATTTTTATTTTAAATAATGGACAGCCATAAGACAGTACAAAACACCATGTTCTCACCTTGTACCAACGTACAGGCTGATTATTTTTCTCATTCCTGAAATAATCCAAGTGTGGACACACGACTCTTGCAGATGAGGATGTGAATATCACCTCCTCCACAGCAAATTTTTTATTTAAGCATAAACCATCAGTCYTCTCAAAAACTGTTACTTTTGTACACATTTTCCTGCAGCTTGTCAAATTTCTGCAATTAATAGAACATAATTAAATTAACCCAATTAGCATATTTTGCAGCTCAAAATGTATGGCATTCTTTTTGGAGAAGAAAGAGAAAACAAAAGGTTTACAGTTTCTTAAATAGATATACATCTGCCTACAAGGAAAAATAACCCAGAACCAGACTTAATCTCCCCAAACTAAACTAAGTTTTTGTTGATGCATTCCCTCTTCTTCATTGGTATTTCTCTTACTCTCAAAATTTTACTCGCTTTCTAAAAGTTACTCACTTTGCAACTCATTTCTGCAAAAATGTAAWTTTTTTTTAACTTTCACCTTATTACACATTCATAATCTCCAGAATCTTCTAACATTGCAGGAAGAAACCAAATTAAATTCTTCTGCTGATGAACTCTAGACATTTTGTCTCTAGGCACAGCWGTCTGGTTACCAACTTTATACCATGTTAAGTTGTAGTCTCCACTTTTCAAGTTCTTTTCCAGTGAACATTTAATAGCAAGAGGCTGCCCATCAGGCACAAGACTTTGCCTTAACATCACATCATAGGCTTCACATTTTTCTAAAGGAAAGAGATAAATATTAAAGAAAAACTCAAACACTCTACAAGAATATACTGAAATAGTTTCCTGATTATATTTACAAAGTTCATTGGAGTTTTCACCTCCATTCTTAAGTCAACTACTTAAAATATGATTTTAATCCCTTATCTTTACAGTGACATATCTTTACTCAGTGGTATACAAATGCCACTAAAATGARGTGCTGTTTTCTGAATGCAATCTTCACACTCAGTAGAATGTCTGTTTGCAGCAAACTTGTCATTTGCATGATTTATTTCAGGTGCAAATTACTAAAGTACTTGTGTTTCTCCACTCTGTTTCATGGACATATACACAAACACACACATGCACACGAAATTCACATCTAATGTCTTTATTTTTTAACTTCAGTTAACTAACTGTMGTCTAAGACAGTCAAGACAGACCATGCTTTTGATACCTGAACATCATAAGAGGACACTGAAGTTAAGGATTGTTTTGTGCAAATATTAGATTTGCTACGGGAATTTCAACTCACCCTTCATTTTACTAATATTTGGAGAAGAATCATTGCAATCACCAATGTGTTCATTTTCTTTACTTCTGACACGGACTCATATGGGAAAAGAGCAATACCTAGACTTTGGTTTGGGCTTTTTTTTTTTTTTTTTTTTTTTTTTTTTTTTTTTTTTTTTTGTGATATGACAAAAAGGCACCAACTCTGGATACCACAGTCACATTCCCGAGTCAGTGTTATATTTATCTAAACTTCCTTGCTTAATTAGAATATAAGAACTGCCACAGAGAGTCATGCAAGTGTCTGTTTAGCCCAAAAACCTGTCTCTGATAATCATCAGTGTCAAATGTGCAGAAGAGAGGAGGACACAAGTACAATACTCCTTTGAATTCAGCCCCTACCTTTCCTCTTACATTCTGCATGAAAAACTATTCATTGGGTTTTATAATTTCTTTGAAATATATGCATTTCTTGTCATAAGAAATAGTAACTTCCTCTCATCTACCTATTTTGTACCATTTACATTTTTATAGATATTCCGATCATCTTGCTTCTGTCTCTTGACCTCAGAGTCCTTCATTCTCACATGGAAGCCATCCSATATCAGACAACACTGTCACTCATCCCTCCACCTCCTCTGATGCAGTCTTTCTGAGATGGAATGACCAGAACTGCAGAGTTCAACTGGCACACATTCATTAGGGGTTAAAGAGTAGCATAATGAGGCTTTATTTGCTGCTCTGCTACTTTGCAAAAATTCCGCTTTTCTGCTCACCACAGATGACAGAGGCAATGCTTGCAGAGAGCACCCAGAGATATCAAAGCAGCATTTTCCCAAGTGGCTGGGTGGATCTTATCAATGTGTGTAAATACCTGATGGGAGGGAATGAAGAACGAAGAGACAGACTTTTGCCAGCATTGCCCACTGACAGGACAAGAGGCAATGAGCACAAATTGAAACATAAAGCATTCTATCTGAACACAAGAAAAGACTTTTTTTCAATTGTAAGGGTGATCAAACAGTGGATCAAGTTGCCCAAATAAGTTGTGGAGTCACCATTCACAGAGATATTCTAAATCCTGACCTTGGGGRCATATTAGTGAGGTTAGGTTAGATAATGTCAAAAGTTCCTTTCCAACCTAAATGATTCTGTGATAAGTTATTACACAAATTATCACATATTATGTTTCATAGGTTCCTTCTCTTGGGAATATTTAAAAGAACTCATTGGCATGCATGTAAATTTTACTATTACAGCCATTTTTACAGAAAGTTAGTATTACTTGTGTGGAAAAAAAAGTTCCAGAACAAAGCTTTCCATAGCCACCAATAAACTTACTTGCAATAATGAAAGACAGAAATGCTGTTGCAATATTACATGAAAACAGTGTTTTTGCTGTCATGTTTCCCTGTAGAAATGGAAAGAAAACTTTCAATTAGTGGTTTCCAATGTGAACTTCCATAATTTAAAGTAAACATTGCATTACACAATTAATATAGCTTATCAAGCACTTCTCATTTACTTCTCTAGCATACTTCTTCCCACTTCTTGCTTTCTCAAGCTATTGCCTTASATTCTCTAACTCTCCTCTAAACAGAAACTGATTTCCTTTTTCTGACTTTTTTTTTGTCACCCACTTCTGTACTGCATCTAGTTAGACTACAGCCTGCCTGAAATAGGGAGGAGAGGACAGAACTTGCATAAAGTCTTCAAAACGTAAGTGCACTATGGATTTATAAAACAAGACAATTATTGTTTTTTTCTGGATGTTTTCCTAATAATTCCTAACTTTATCTTTGCTCTTTGAGTACTACTAAGTACTAATACCTGACATTTCCATGGGCCTATGTAGTAAAATTTCAGGATCTCATCACTGAGTGCTAAGAATCAGGCATAYTCAGTCAGCTGTTGAGTATGTTAGGATTTTGGCCCTATATTTTGATTTTAAATTTTCTTTACATTTCTCTACAACAACTTTCTTCTGCTATTATTACCCAGTCATTTGCTATCATGGCATCTTTCTGCCACACTTTGCAATTTACACCTCTGTGTTCTAGCCTGCATAGCTTTGTACTGTTGGCAAATTCTGCCGCTGAAACAGATCCTGTCTGTCTAGACATCAAAATACATGCTGAGCAGAAGAGTTGTTTGGGACTCTACTTGTGATGTTTGTTCACCTAAAATCTAGGCATTTATCTTTTAGATGCTTATTTATATATTTGAGAACGATTCTCAGGACTCTTTAACGGTCCTCTGATTCATAGTGTGTTTGGAGAAGGATCTCCTATATTAGTTGCATGCCTCTGACAAGCTGCTCCTTAATTTGACCTGCCTTAATGTTTTGGTTTTTTTTTCTATCCAGCTATACAGCCCTGTGAGAGGACAAATGCAACTATCCAAACTGAGGGATGAGCAGCAGAACCCCATCCTGTAGTGAAGAACATTCAGATGATCACCATTTTCTATCACCATTTTCTACAAGAGTCAGAGGACGCTTCCGGCTGCTGTGTCTGACTTTAGCAGACTGGCTCAGAAGTGTGCCATGTATTGAGTCATCCACACTGCTTCCTGCAGTGCCTGCTTGGCTTCTTCCCTTTCTCTTTCCTCCTCCCTCCTTGCAAATTTCCACTCTAATTACCAGGCAGGTCTTTTCTTGCCAGGCTCTGAGATGACATTAGTACCTGACAGAATCCTGAGCSTAGAAATGCAGAAAACATTAAAATCTCTGGAGGTAGGTTGCAAGTGTTTATTATACAAAAGCTACAACTTTTTCTATTAATTAYGATGCACAGTAACTCTTAACAGTCTATAATTTTTAATTTTTAAGAGGAAAATATTGTAATTGAAATAATTTGAAGATAAAACAGGACTGAATAGATTCCACTTATGAGAAGGCATTTCTTTTATGAGTTTTCTGAATCACTATTTCTTCACAAACTCTGTTCTATTGCATCATTACCGTGTTCTGTCTCACACAAGCTCCTCTAGATTTTTGCCCCACCAGTAGATTCAGCAGATGTAGAAGTTCTTTACCACATCCTAAAAGTCTTCCAGAATCCTGGTTTTCTATCATTTCAATACTCTATCTTTTAAATTTACAATTTGCCCTTTTGTCAACATAGAAGACTTTCAAACATAGATACAGCCTTGTGTAATACCATAAATACAGACAGTTTTGTGGAGACTACCTTGTCTCTCACTTTTCACAAAAATTTCCATTTCTGTGAAAGGTGGACATGATAGCAAAATTAGGCTCTTCTCTGTGCATGCATTCACATAAATAATGATGAAAATAACAAACATATGACTGCAGAACCAATTGCAAATGTTTTTCCTACCACATTCTGCCATGATAAACAGCGAAATTTCTCCCTTTTCCCAGCCATTCTGTCCACATCTTGAGTCTTCAATTGACCGGTGGAGTTTTATCACTCAGGCCAGGCTTCAGCTCCAGTTATCTTTGCCCAGATTTTCCAGAGGGGGAACAAAAAATCCAGGGATGCAAAGCTATGTCCATAAAGTTTCACCCTGAAAGGAAGTGAATCTTTATCAATTTCAGTTTAAAAAAATTATCACAACCAACCCCCCAGAAAATCCCCATTAACTGTCTGAAAGTCATCTTCAATCATACAGCATCCATGACAACAAATAATGCATAATTCTCGCTAAAATTTCTCATTAAGTTGTCCTAACCACCTTTTCTTCTGATTTTCAGTCCTTTCAAAATTGAACTATTAAAAAAAATAATAAAAAATAAAAAATAAAAAAAAAAATGAAATTTAAAAAGTTCCCCTCGATATTTCAAAGAATCACAGGTTTCATTAGTTCTGGCAAACTTACTTGTGGCAGGTTTCTTTGAATCTCTTATTCAAAAGCACAAACTTGATTCAAGCACGCAAYAGTCCCCAGAACTGAGAGAACCAACAGAAAGAGTATGACAATATTTCTGGTATATAAACCTAGGAAAAATTTAAAACAAAAAAAATGCATATATATATATATATGTATATATATATATTCATATTACCTTAAATGCTTCTAGTAGCTGGAAACTATGCCATGCCTCTTCCAGAGAGATTAACCAAGTGTATTACTTCTGATCTAGAAAAAAAACATGACGACAACAAATACATATATTCCTTCSCTGCACATACCTAGCCAGGGTGGAAGAGCTGGGCGAGCCCCGGTCGGGATGCGGWCACAGCACTGTGACTATCACGATAGCCGCGTTTCTGTGAAATGCTGGCACACCTCAGCGGGTACGGCAGGAAATCATTGTTCAATACAATGATTGTTGAATTTTCGTTTAAATTGAGCCGCACTCCTGGAATGATTGCTTTGGAAGGGGTTGTGGCTCCTGGGCGGTGCAGACACCGCCGGCCCGGGCAGGGGACCCCGCCAGGCTCTGCCGTGGGGCAGCTSTGAAGAACAGGCGCTCGCACGTTCTCTGTCAGCGACCGAGCCACGGGCGGGCTGACCCTTTAAACGAGGTTCTACTCCCACTCCCAAACTGTCCCCAGCCCCCAGTTCCCCCAGGAGACACCACCTCGGTCCGATCCACCTCCCCGCCCCGAAAGCGGGCTGTCGGAGCAAAGTGCGGCCACGGGCACAGCTCCACGGATCTCCTCCCCGATGATCCCGGGACTGAGCCGCCCGCCCCGTTCCAGGACCGATGGAAACCAGGGAGCCCGCCCGCCCCTGAGCGGGTCCCACCGCCCCGGACACCCAGCCCGGGTCTCGGGGAGCCATTCTCGCCCCCGTCCTCCCCAGCTGTCCCCTCCGAGAGCAGGTGGGCTCGCTGGGGACCATGTCCCGGGGAGTCCCCGGTGCTGCCTACCTGCTCCGCGGGGCGGGGGAGCGCCGCTGCCGCCTCCGGGAAGCCCCGGCAGCCGAGGGACCCGGCACGGGCAGCTCCTCCCAGCGACGCCTCACCTTCCCCCGCCTGCCGCCTGCAAATCTGGGTGTCCCCAAAGCCAGGGGGTGGCCCCGGGGCCGGGCAGGGCAGGGCCATCCCCCGTCCCCTCCCCGCCCCGGCGCAGGTAAGTGATGATGCATAAAGGCAGGATGCGAAGAACAAAGCGATTGAGCAAAAGTCACTGTCGAGAAAAGGCTGATCGCAACCACTCAAGCCCCTCGCTACCGCGGGCTGGGCTCAGCCGCCGCCCCAGGAAATCCTCCAAGTTACGGCTGCTTGAGATTTGAGGCGACTTTTTTGTTTGTTTGTTTGTTTGTTTGTTTGTTTGTTTGTTTTTAAGTACGAATACCTCCAAACCTCCCTAGCTGATGAGACTGCCACTGGAAGAGAAAGAGCTCTCGAGGGCATCAGCTGATTTATTTGCTTATCCAATAGGCTTTGGTGCTTTGGTGCTTGATCTGAGTTACCCAGATTATCTTTGATATTTGGAAGCTTGAACACACGGGTTTAGTCCCATTTAATCCCTGAGCTTTCATCTACAAATTTAACAGCTAAAAAGTAGTCCTGATGTTTTACAGAGATTACTTAACTTGTGGCTGTTCTGGAACAGTATGTTCACTAGGTGCTTCTTTGTTCTCTGTTTCACTCTCACGCTAGAGCCAGAGTTTTTCAAACCAGAAGTTCCTCAAATTACTTTGTTAAACACGGAATCAAATATGGATATTTTTACCACTGCGCTGCCACTTTCTTTTTGACTAAMCACTAAGCCAGATATTAAGATAGAGGAAAGTTCTTATGTTCCTCCCAAAGTAGGCAGTAATCATGGACTTTTTAGGACTATCAAATTGATGTTCTCATTATTGTTAAAAACACATAACATTTGCTAAGTAAATTACAAGTATTCTGCAAAAACTGTGGAGAATAAGCCAGACATGTTCTTTCCCTTCCATGCTGTTATTTTTTTTTTTTTCATTCTGGCTCTGGTACTTCTTGCATATTCCAATACTATTATATTTACCAAATGGAAACACATTCAAACATCCTTGCCCATCTGTTGGTAGCTGCAGATAAGTAAAGACGAATTATCACACCCTGCTTTGCCTGCACATACTGTCTTCCACCAATACAAGGTGTGTAGTGCTAGCTGGAGGCAAATTGCAACACTTCCAAACATTAAGGTGTTGGGATTTGGGAAAATCCCATTATTTATTCCTGATGGGGAAACACAGCAGGATTTATGCAATCAGTTAGTCTTTCTTTAGTCACCGCTTGCATCCATATTTAATTTTTGAAATTTTTTCATTAACTCCTTATAATAGGACAAGTCAAAGAGTTCAAGATGATGCAACATTTTTAGTTTCTGTATTATTTTGCACCACTAAAAAAGATCTGTGAGTTGTATCTGATTATCATAAATGCAAGTGAGGTCTTTACCACATTGCTCTAGAAGCACTGATTTTAAAAAGTGGTAAYGTTTTAAGAATTCTTTTTATGGTAGACATGCTAGATGTTCTACTGTTTGGTGCTGTGATGGGTTTTTTCTCCTACTTAATTGTAATAYTACTAATAGAGAAAAAATGTTTCCAGTAAAAATGTTTCTGGTATAAAACACATTGCTAAAACATTACCAAAATGAATAGGTAAAATGAGAACTATTCAATAATTCTGCTGTTCATTGAATGTGAACCAGAATTCAGGGGGAAAAGAAGTATRATAAAGCTGAAATGGTTGGACTTCATGAAACAGCAAAAATACACAGACCACAGCAGTCATGAGACAAAAATTGCAGGGAAGAGCAGAGAAGAAGGCTGTCTGAGGAAAGTGGACATTGACACTTGTTTGCATGAACATATGGTATGGTTACCAGGGACACTTCGAAGCAGACCAAGAATCAGCAGATCCACCAATGAAGGCGATGCTAAACAAAACATTATCCAAACTTCCTCTGTATCAGATCTCTGCAGTGGAATTTACTTATTTTTCTAAAATTTTGATTTATGCAAACATTCAGGTGTATTTTGCCTTATGAAGCTCTAAGAATAAGCAGTCATAAGTACTATACAGTGGGCTCTAAAAAAGTGCCGCAGTGCCATCTTTGAAAATAGATTGCAGCAGAGTGATGGTCATGGTGTACCTTATCTTTCTGCAGCTGACAAGAATTTCAGATAAAGCTACTTCTGTGTAAAATAAGAGAATGGACTTGAGGATAGCATTTGGTGTATAGCATTTCTCCAAAGTGTGTATGCTAAATGAGGTATCACTGAGAAGTTCTTTTACCATCAGGTGTCATCTACTCACTTTATTTGGTAAACATTATATAGGCAATGAAGGGAACATATTGCCTGTGATAAATAATTCAATCCTCTTGAGCTACACTTACAAGAAAATCAGTGAGAGCATTGTCTTGATGGGATGGGATGGGATGGGATGGGATGGGATGGGATGGGATGGGATGGGATGGGATGGGATGGGATGGGATGGGATGGGATGGGATGGGATGGGATGGGATGGGATGGGATGGGATGGGATGGGATGGGATGGGATGGGATGGGATGGRAGTTGCCTGGCATGAATTTAGAGCATTGCCTTTCATTACTGCAAACCTCTTATTTTCCTACATCATTCAGTAGTTTTGTTCCAGCTTTCAAGATCACTTGTGTTTCTCAATTTGCAGTATTGAAAACTTTCCCTTTTCACATATATCATTTCCTTTGGGCGTGTGGCTGAATTAGCTTTCTTGTTTGGCTCAAGAGAGCATTTGTGTCACAAAACAATCCTGGAGCACATCAAACAGATTCCTTTCAGAKGAGGCAAAAGTTAAAGACAAGCTCCAGCTAGCTGGGCAAGCTATCAACAGTGCCTGAGAGCAGTTATGCTGAAATTATGTCTCTTCAAATGTGACTCGTGTGGACACCAGGCCCTCCACACCAACAGACTTAACACCAACCTGCAAAAATCAGAGCAATGTTTGCTCTGATTCTTTAGGACAAGTGTCAATGACAAGCAAACATAGTTGTTAAGGTTTTTAAAGCAATTATGGAATTCAGTAATCTCATGTTTTACCTGCTCCTGGTAAATAATCCCTTTTACATGAGAAGGGACTACAGTCACACCATGTGTCTAAGTGTATTTAGAGCAAGACTGTGGTKTGTAGCCACAAACTTATTTTTTTGAGTTTGGCCACAGTATGTACTTATCATGTATCTTTCTCATCTGAAACTGAGCAGAGTAAATAAACATAGTTTTAAAGCACTTGATGTATATTTTTCTGCCATTTCTACTTTAAGCTTTGTTGCACAAGATAACTGAAGAAGACATCAAGATTATCATTGTATGTGCAAATCTTTCAAAGCTACAAATAAAAAAATATCAAGAAATGTAATTGCAGGTAATTACTTAGTTAAAGCTGCATAAAACATATATGTATTATATTATTTGAGAACAGRAAAATATATTGAAGAAATATTCAGAAACACTGTAATCTGCTGGGTTTGCAAAAAAATTGATTTAGAGAGGTTAAGTTAGGAGAGGAAAATTAGAAATTGAAAATGCAAAAGTGATGTGGCAGTGTTTGTTGCATCACATTGGTCTGTTGTTTTGTTTCAATATCCTTCTTGCCTTCCTCATGGTAACCAATTCTCATGATGAGCAGAGAAAGTTGAGCTGCACTGCAAAGCCAGAATTGCAGGGCTGTCTGGGAAGCCACCTAACAAAAGATGAGAGCAGATTCTAGGACAGGGAGAAGCCAAGGTGTGGCAGYAGTTACTGCCATGAAGGGAACTTGCCAGGGATTAGCCATGGCCTTCATATTAATGTTTTCATATCCTGGGAGTACAAAAAAATTGAAGTTTTCCTATGTAATGTACCAATGGCACAATAGTTGGAAGAGAAGTATGTGACCCTGCAGCTTGGCTCACAGTGATTTTTACCCATTTACTCCTTCTACACTCAGAAATTACACCACTATTTTATTTTCTTTAACTTTAAACATAACAATAACCATTTGCCATCCAGGATCACAGACTAAGGAGAAGAATTGTGGGTCAAGATTATTATGACTCCCCAATATATTACATCCTTTAAATTAAAAATTAAAAAAAAAGTAAAAAGTAGCAAATGCTGCCATAAATCAGGTGAACTGTCTCCAATAGAGTTAGAGAAGTATCAAAGGTACCTGTAATGCACTGATGTGAGTCTTCATTATAGAGCCCAGTGAGAAGGGTTTTCAGACTTCATGGGATATTGATTAATATTGGGGTTATTGGAGATAACCCAAGAAGGTAAAAGGAGAGAGGACAGGTAATCTTATGTCTCTTCCAATGCTGGGAATCCAGAGCTGTGCAGCATCAGACAGAACTCCAGTCAGGGCATGCCACACCATGAAAATCCCATTTGCAGGGACATTTGTCAGCATTGAAGGCTTTAGGGTTTTTACAAGGTGTTCTTAAAAGTAGATAGCTCAATTAATATTTTTTTTTCAGTCATGCAATAGGATGGTGTAAGAAAACAGGCTGTTTTACTTCAAGGTAAGCCAGGACATGYGGGTGGAGTCGTCACCAGGTGCCAAGTGGGAGCTGCCTTCAGGCTTCCCACAGGTGAGCTGGCTCCAGTTGTACCTGCAGCCATGTGATACATCCAGCACAGCTCAGGCCTGCACCCATTTGCATCAGCTCTCACAGGGATCAGTCGCTTCTGCATGCACACACATCTTCTGCTCAGGACCCTGATAACACCATTCAGGGTACTGGAACATCCTCAGCTGAAATGTTTGTTCATCATCCTGTTAATACRTTCACAAATTCCAAGAGACTTCACTGAACTGTGGGTATTCTAGGAAAAATGAGAAGCTTACATTTCAGGGAAGTTTTAAGTTAATTTGGCTTTGTCTAGGACAATTTGAAGACAGGCTACACTTCTGCCTATAAACAATACATCCAGTACATACCAATGAGCAACTCCTGTGTTAGGAAAAAGCATGGTAACTCACAAARAGACCAAAATAACTGGATACCTGAGATAGGAATGAACTACCCAAAGGGCAGAGGAAGCCCC